ATTGCCATTTTGTTACTTTTTTATAGTTGCTTTTATTGTTCTTCTCTGTTCCTTTCTTTTCTTCCTCTCTTCCCTGGTGGTTTGAGGTCTTTAGTGATATGCTTAATTCCTTTCTCTTTATTTTTTGTATATCTACTAGAGATTTTTAACTTGTGGTTACCATTAGGTTCATATACAACATCTTATGCATACACCAATCTATATTAAGTTGACGGTTACCTAAGTTTGAACCCATTCTAAAAGCGCTAAATTTTTACTCCACTCCATGCCTCCATGTATTAGGTGTATATGATGTCATCACTTACATCCTTTTATCTCATGAATCCCTGACTAATTTTTATAGATTCTACTTAATTTTACTGCTTTTGTGCTCCCTGCTTCTCTTACTCCTGCTTATGGTCTTTCCTTTCACTCAAAGAACCCCCTTTAACATTTCTTGTAAGGTTCATTTGGTGGTGATGAACTCCTTTAACTTTCCTCTGGGAAACGCTTTATCTCCTCTTCTATTCTGAATGGTAGCCTTGTTGAATAGAGTATTCTTGGTTGCAGGTTTTTTCCTTCCAGTTCTTTGAATATATCATGCAGTCCTTTCTGGCCTGCAAAGTTTCTGCTGAAAAGCAAGATGTCAGCCTTATGGAATTTTCTTTGTAATTGTTTTCTTTTCTCTTGCTGTTTTTAAAATTCTCTATCACTAATTTTTGCCATCTTAATTATTATGTGTCTTGGAATGGCCCTCCTTCAGTTGATTTTGTCAGGAGCTCTCTGTGCCTCCTGGATCTGGACTTCAGTTTCCTTCCCCAGATTCAAAAAGTTTTTAGCTATTATTTCTTCAAATAAATATTCTACTTCATTTTCTCTCTCTTCTCCTTCTGGGATCCCTATAATGCAAACATTACTATGTTTATGATACACAGAGTTCCCTTAACCTATTGTGATTTTTTTTATTATTCCTTTTTTTCTTTTTGCTGTTCAGTTTGGTTGTTCTCCATTACACTGTCTTCCAAGTCACTGATCCATTCTTCTGCCTCCTCTGATCTGCCACTGATTCCCTCTAGTGTGTTTTAATTTCCACTATTAAGTTCTTCAACTGTAGGTGGTTCTTGTTATATTTTCTATCTCTTTGTTGAAGGTCTCACTGAGAGCCTCTGCTCTTTTCTCAACTCCAGCTAGTATCTTTATGACCATTACTTTCAATTCTTTATCAGGCATACTGCTTATGTATGTTTCATTTAGCTCTCTTGTTGCAATTTTGTCCTATTCTTTCATTTGGGACATATTCCTCTGTCTCCTCATTTTGTTTAACTCTATGTTCTTTTCTATATGTTAGGAAAGTTGGCTACATCTTCTGATCTTGAAAGTAGCAGCCTTATGAAGAAGAGGTCCTATGGTGCCCTGTAGCACAATGTCCCCTGTTCATCAGAACCAGGAGCTTCAGAAGTGTCTCCTATGTGAGTTGCATGCACCCTACTGTTGTGGCTGAGCCACATTTGCCTTCAGTTCAGTTGGCTGCAATGGTCCACTTTGCCTGCTATGGGTAGGTTTTGGTCTCCATGCTGTTGAGGAGCCAATACGGAGCTGCTGTGGGCTTGGAGTTGGGCAGTGTCAGCAGTCAAACCAGATGCAGAGCCTGCAGACACACTGACTGACAGGGCACTCTCTGCACTGCCAATTATAGGGTTCAGCAGCTAGGGCTAAAGATAAGTGGGGGTATGTGGTTATCTTTCCCTCTCCACAGGGCAGGAGTCACATTGGAGCAGCACCAGCCACTGCTGGGGCTGCTTATAGAATGGCATGTGACAGGAGCCACTCAAAAGGGATGCCTGCTGAATAGGGCAAGTTGGATGGGACAGATATGCAGAACGTGGGGATAGGGCATGTGGTATTAGTGCTCTCTAGTTCTCACAAGTGTCCTGCTATCTAGGCTAGGGTAAGGAAGTGTGGAGAAAATGGCACCCATGGGCCCTTTTGTTCTTGGAGAGTTCTCCTAAAAATCCCTGCCTCTCCAACACACATTCTGAGATCAGTAAACAAATCTCATTCACATACACCCCAGAGGTTTTCAAACTGCTGCTTCCATTCTGTAACTTGGTGAAGTTATTTGTTACTCTAGTTCTTTGAGTGCAGGGACTCAGTTTCCTATCACCTTCCAGCTCTCCTAGAGCTAAGCCTGTTGGTTTTTAAAATACCCAGAGTTAAGCCCCACTGATTGTAAAAACAATTTTTTTAAATAATAATTAAATAAAATAATTTAAAAAATTAAAGTTAAGCCCTACTGGTTTTCAAAGCCAAATATTATGGGGACTCATCCTCCCACTGGAGATCCCCTGTGTCTGGAGTATGGGGTCTGCTCCCCTCCCTTTCTGGTGAGTATGGTGTCCCTCCAATTTGTGGTTAGTCTCCCAGAAGCTTGGTCCCTGACTGATGGCATCTTCACCCCTTCTATCCTTTTTGATGTGGCCTCCTCTCTATGATTAACTGTGGAAAGTCTGTTCTGACAGTCTTTGGGTCATTTTCTGGCTTGGCTGCACTGATCTGGCTGTTACCTAGGTGTCCATGGAATGAGGTGGGCTTAGATCCTCCTACTCTGCCACCTTTTCAGAAGTCCTCCCCTGCTGTATTTTGACACTAATACGCATAAGAAATCTTCAGCAGAGAGAAGGAAAGAAAAATAACCATTTGAAATACAACCAAAACATTCTGTTCTCCATAACAAAAGCCTGCCATCATGAGAAATTACTTTACCAGACAACTTGAGCCCACTTTATCCTTCTTGTATCACATCAGGTGAGGAAAAACAAAGCTAAAAAAACAATTCTGAAAGGAGTCAGGCACAAAAACCCCTCAAATTTAACCATAAGGTTATAGGCTACTTCCCCTCCCCAATACTGACCATCCCATCAAAAAGACTCCAGTGTAATGACAGTGGATTACAACTGAGAGCAGCAAGGCACCAATTCTACTTAAAAAGGAATTTCTACGGAAACTCAAAGATAATAGAGGAGATAGAAACAAGGACAGGAGAGGAAATTGAAGCCTAACATCTACATCTACAGTATACACTAAACCTAACTCCTAATTAGATAAACATAAAACCTCACCCTAGAAGCCTGTTTACCTCAGTTCCTTTTAACCAATACATCGTGTCCAACTTTCAACAAAGAATTATAAAACAGGTTAAAAGTCCAGAATAAACACAGCCCAAAGAGAAAAAGCAAGTATCAGAACTATATTCAGCTTTGACACTTATATTGGAATTATCAGGTAGAGAATTTAAAATAATTATGATTAATATGTTTATCCTTGATGAATACAGATGCAAAATCCTCAACATAATATATTAAACCAAATTTGACAATACAGTACAAAATCACACACCATGATCAATTGGGATTTATTCCAAGGATGCAAGGACAGTTCATCATCTGCACATATATGTGATACAGCACACTGACAAAATGAAGGATAAAATTCGTATGATCATTCAATAGATAGAGAAAAAGCATGACAAAATTCAACATCCATTCATGACAAAAAGTCTCAACACATTAGGTATAAAGGCTATATATGACATTCCCAGAGGTAACATTATACTCAAGATTAAAAGGTGAAAACTTTTCCTGTAAGATCAGGAACAAGACAAGGATGCCAACTCTCACCACTTTTATTTAACATAGTAGTGGAAGTCACAACCAGAACAATTCTATAAGAAAAAGGAAGCAAAAAACAAAAACAAAAACAAAACAAAAGGCATCCAAGTCAGAAAGGAAATAATAAAACAGTCTCTATTTGCAGATGACATGTTTTATATAGAGAAAACCCTAAGGATGCCCCTAAAAACTGTTAGAATAAATGAATTCAGTAAAATTGCAGGATATAAAATCAATATAAATCAGTTGCATTTCTATACACTAAAAATATCCTATCAGAAAGAGAAATAAAGAAAATAATTCCATGTATAATTACAAAAATAATAAATTAAAATACCTAGAAATATATTTAACCATGGAGGGGAAAGATCTGTACATTGAAAAGTATATGACATTGATGAAAGAAATTAAAGACAAAAAGAAATGGAAAGATATTCCATACTCATGGATAAGAATATTATTAAAATGCCCATACTACCCAAAGCAATCTACAGATTTAATGCATCCCTAACAAAATTCCAATGGCATTTTTCACAGAAATAAAATACACAATACTAAAATTTGTACAGAACTCAAAACAAAAAATCCAAATTGCCAACACAATCTTGGAGAAAAAGAACAAAGCTGGAAGCCATAAAAAGTAATGAAACACTGATACATGCAAACATGCATATACATACAAATATGCACAACCTCAAATCACTATACTAAGTGGAATCAGTCATATGCAACGAACTACATAATATAGATTCCAAGTATTTAAAAATTCCAGAAAAGAAAAACCTTGGAGCCAGAAAGCAGATCACTGGTTGCCTAGGGCTGAAGGTGAGAGGGATAAAATTGAGGACTGGCTGCAAATGGGCACAAGGGTACTTTCTGGGGTAATGAAAATGTTCTAAACCTGGATTGTGGTGGTTAATCGCCTACCTGTCTAAATTCACTATAATTACTGACTTGTACACTTAACAGGTCAATTTTACATATATAAACTATATCCACACACACACACACACACACACACACAATAAAGCTGGTAAGAAATATCTGAAGAGTTTTCTGGTGGAAAAGAGAATAAAATTCTTCCATACTTTTCAAGTAGAATTAATTTTCAGAGACAATAATTCTAGGGAGTTAGAATTTTAGCCAATATGAAGAAGTACATACACTGACAGAGTTATTCAATAGGAATACTGTGGATTCCCAAAGCAAGCACAATGGTACCACTGGTTGGCCAACCCAACAGACATTCCTGATATCCTCTTCTTTATCAATGTAATTAATGTAAGGTTTGCAAAGTGAACTGCTAGATACTATGTTATTTGCAGTTAAATGATTCCCAATGGATAAACCTACCTTTCAAAAGTAGTCCTAAAATGCTGAAAAACTTTCTGCCAGGGAAGGTGAAAAATATTCCTATTGGAGAGAGAGAATGATATAATTAGTTGGTTAAAATTTTTAAAAATTAATCATAGGTTTTGAAAAATATGTGCATTATGTATGTTCTTTGAATTAAATAAAAGCAATGATCACTGTGAATATATATACATTTCACAAAGCAGGAATATTCTTTGCTTTATGCCATTTCAGTTTATGCATGTGCGTGAACACATACACACACACACACACACACACACACACACACACACACACACACACTTTTTGTTCCCTGGGGAACCATGAAAATCAAAGTAGAAGACTACTTTTATCAAAGATGAACGTGCACAAAAGTGTCAAGATTTGGTTTCTGCCCTCAACATGTTGGAAAGACAATCTTTGTAGAGGCAGGTGAAAACACCTGAAGCAATGAGCAGATATTAGGCACTGTACAATTAAACCATAAATTGCAGCATATAAATACAGTTAAGTTCTGTAGGAGCTAACCCATAGATGGCTTTACAAACCACCAGGATTAAAAAATCCTACCTGATGGTTAAAGTAAGCAATTGACTGAACTGTCCACACCCAAACACAGTTATTTTGATAGAATTCTCACCCCAACATGCTATTAGATAATACCCATCAGGTGATTTCATTGGAACAAGAGAAATTAGTAATTTAAAACAGGCTCCCCAAGATAAATTCTAGATGTGGATTATTTCTTAAATTTCACTCTTCTCGAGTGTCTATACGTGAGATATTAAGAAGAAAGACTTGACAGACCAACACAATTTAAGTACTGCGATAGTGACAGTATCACAACTGGAGTTTTCTTTACATTTTTCTATCTACAGTCTTGCCTTCTGTTACTCTGGGATTTTTCAGAAGGGCATAATCACGAAGATCAGTGTTATCCAATACTGTACAGAAAAGCTCCAAGTTAAGGAATTTTTTGAAGTATTATAAGCATGCTTAAAGCCCTTTAACATACGTATGGGTATAGTTAACAAATGATCTACTCTATGACAAATACAAGCGACAGAAAACTTGTAAAGCAACTACAATTTTCCTGTATATCTGTGTGATATGAGTACTTTATGCATGATCCTTTAATAAAAGGTTTAATTTTACTTTAAAGAATAAAACAAAAACCAAAAATAAATGATCTACTATAAACATTTTCTCATTTGAAGCTGACTTTCGTAATCAATAAATGTAATTTGAGTTGCTTTCCTAGGAGTTCTGAGTCACCCACTAACTCTCTACTCCTCCTCTTCCCCATTAATGAATTTGATTTCAAGAGGTCTGAAGAGACAGTAGGGACATGGACTCCAGAAGATAATGTGTTCCCTTGCAAAGTTGACTTTTGGGACTGACTGTAAGCTTTGTTCCTTTAACACCACGTTCACACACCTGAGAGCTGAGAGGAGCCATCACTCCAACAAGTAATAAATGAGTTGCTTAGAGTTCTTGTACTGCAAACCTTTAGCATGGCAGATTTGGCATCTATTTAAAAACAACTCTCACACTTGCTGACAGAGAACACTTTTGAGGTGGAAATCCCTCGAAATGGAATAAAAACAGCTCAAGTAAAATGCTTCTCTTTGTTCATGAATAATTGTCCATTTAACCGCTATTTACCATAAAAAATAATAAAAACTCAACTCCATTGTCTTCTTTGTTCAACTTCTAATTAGCACACAGTGTCTGACCTCATTATTCCCCATACCCAAATCTAACTTTTTAGCAAACAAATGAATGTTTGGTGCCCTTTGCAAAGCAACACCGCCCAAATGCCTGAGGGTGCTTAAAGAACTAAAGCTAGAGGCACTATCAATAGACACTTTTTTTTTAAGGTTTTATTTATTTCTGAGAGAGAGACAGCATGAGAAGGGGAGGGTCAGAGAGAGAGGGAGACACAGAATCTGAAACAGGCTCTGAGCTAGCTGTCAGCACAGAGCCCGACGTGGGGCCCAAACCCACAAACCGTGAGATCATGACCTGAGCCGAAGTCCAACGCTTAACCGACTGAGCCACTCAGGCGCCCCTATCAATAGATACTTTAAAATTTTTTACTCTAGAGCAAAAATACTGCATGCGGTTGTTTTTTTGTTATTTTTTTTTTTTTTACAAATAGTTTATTGTCAAGTTGGTTTCCATATAACACCCAGTGCTCATCCCCACAAGTGCCCTCCTCCACTGCATGCACTTTTAAATAGTGTTTAAAATCTGATACTTTCTCTGATTCACTTCTTAAAGTTGTTCTATTGTTAAATTGCTTGATTTTCAACCTAACAGAGCTCTGTTTTGCATTCACCTTTTAAGGCATTTCTTCAAAAGCTATTTGTTGCCATTATTACTTCTAAACTGGTTTTATTTATTTTTTTCTCTTAAATATTTATCTTTGAGAGAGACAGAGAGAGAGAGCAGGGGAGGGGAAAAGAGAGACAGACAGAATCTGAAGCAGGCTCCAGGCACAGAGGGCAATGCGGGGCTTCATCTCACAAACTATGAGATCATGACTTGGGCCTACACCGGATGCTTAACTGACTGAGCCACCCAGGAGCCCCAAACTGGCTTTATAATTATACATACATTCCTTCCACAATGAACTTCCTTGCCTTCAAAATTGTATATCAGAATTTAAATGGTCATGATGGCATTTATAGATTTACTTGCCTCTACAACTCCGATAACACTTTCCATATATTCCTCACACAGAGAAATAACGTAACATAGTCAGTGAATGGCACTAATATCCTAAGATTGAAATGACCCAAGAAATGAAGAGAGGTTTTTAGGGTTTTTTTGTGTTTGGTTTTTGCTTTATATTAGAACCGCAAATTTAACTTTTAATGATTTGGAAGTGGAGAGAAAATATAGCTTCTTTATTTCATCTAAAGCTGACTTTTTCCTTCATAAGTTCCCATCCACTACTTTGTGAGGAAAAAAATAGCTAAATGTGTAACTGAGTTCAAAGCTAAGTCTGATGCAATTGTTTATTCAGCCTTTTTAGAAAATGTTCAATCTGTCGGCTGTTCCTTCTAGCTATTTCTCTAAGAGAGAATCTGGCTGTCTGGAGAGAGCGGTGTTACACACATCCTGGTGAACTTAAGTGAAAGAGACCCCTTGGGCACGTGCTGGCTGGCACCTCTGGCTCTCCAAGATAACGTCCCCTGCTGGGTGTCTGGCCACCCTCAGCACTGGCAGGTGAATTGCTGGTGGGTTTCCTTGGCTTGGTCAGTACTTTGCATGATGCAGACCCAGTGACAAAGGTACACTGCCCTTCTAGGGTAAGCCTCTGAGGCAAGCCCCAAGCCACTTCTCTGTCATGCTATATGCCCAAGTTTATTTGATGGTGCTGCAACTCCAGTTAGTGTGGGGAAACCTGTGCAGTGACCTCATCCCAGAGTCCTCAAGGAGACTTAAGTAGAAGAGAAAAGGGAAACTGGAAGAGCTCCCCTGGCTCCAGTTACATTCATTTATAGAACATGTGAATGCAAATATTCTGCTTCTTGATACTCTGGATGCCTCAGTAACCACACCCCTGGCTCCATACCTTGACTTCTATCATTTCCACATTGTTCTAGCCTGACTCCAAGCACATACTCCAAGATACAATTTCTAGTATTTGCCTTTGAACACCTCTCCCTTCACCAGAAAAATCTTAGGTAAGAGGACCTGGAGATACACATAACAGATAGATATAAAATAGATTTGCAATTAGCAAAGGCTTCAATACAGAATTAAAGAAGAAATTCCACATCTGTCATTTTTCTCAAAATATATACAGTAACTCACAGACAGCTAATTGTATCACCCAATAAGACATAAGACTTAGGAGACAATGTAAGAAACAGAAAGTAATTATTTGTAGGTAATATATTATTCTTTTATAAGTAAAAGTTTATCTCATGTGCTTGAGGATATGTAAAAATGATTTCATTCATTTAGCATATACTGAAACAACATTTGTTTGCCATCTTTATATTTATCAGAGAAGGCAGATTTGTTCACTTCAAAGGAAACTACAGATAGATCATAACTTACCTAGTTTCAATCACATTATGAATGACTAAAGCAAAATTCATGAAGTCTTCCATATTACAAATTACAAATCAATGTACATTGTTTTTAAACAATGTAAATTTTTAAACTCAAGTCAAAGTGAAAATGTATACAATATATTGTTTAATATAGAATGCTGAAAAAGATAATTGGAGGAGTGATTTTCTAAAATCAGTTAATTTTGTAGAACTTGAGACAAAGTTTCTGATACACAATGCTTAGGCTAGGTTAATAATTCTTACTGTAGCAAATTCCTCTCTAGCTTTACAAAACTAAAGGCCTTATCCTACAATGAAAAAAAGAAAAGATCCTTTGTCCAGAATATCCTCACCCCAGTTAGGTTTTAGTATGTGCTGCTATAATACCTTAAAGCATCTTAGCAACAGGCTAAAGAAGCATCAGCCAGCAAAATCATTGTCTCAAGTGGCTCTGGGAAACAAAGTCCATCCATTGGTCATAAAACTCCAGCAGAAAATGAGGCAGGCACACTGAATATCTGGCCTTTAGGACTGGATCCACTAAAGGACAAGACCAAAAATCATATCTTTCTCAGACAGTCAGTATGAAAATTCTAGAGAGTAATACTTCCCAAAAAGAGTGAACTAAATTCATCAGCAAAATATAAGAAAATTTCAATTAACCAAAGTGCTTTGGGAATAGGTTGTCCTCAGATGTCTAAGACTGCAGGGTTAGTTAAATAAATAATGGTGCATATACACAATCCACTACACAGAAGTCATTAAAAATCCTGTTCTAGAATGTTGACAATGGAAGTGCTGTTATGTAAAATATTATATGAAAAGCAGCTCATAAAGAAGTAGAATCAATTTTTATGTTTTTAAAATATATATATACAAACTAGGGGTGTCTGGGTGGCTCAGTCAGTTAAGCATCTGACTCTTGATCTCAGTTCAGGTCATGATCTTGCGATTAATGAGTTAGAACCCCACATTGGTTCAACA